ACCGCTGAGGCTCTGGTCGCGCAATTGCAGCTTTCTTGGCGGGCCGTGTCCCGGTGTCGACTGTGTTATGTCCCTTGGCCGCCGCGTTGAAGCATCTTCGGGCGGATGCTAGGTCGCCTTGAATAGTAGCGACCAGTGCCCTCTTGGTGTAGAACTTCATCTTTAGGTGTATGGTGGAGGGCACCGCGGTCAGCTCTGCAGTGTCTGCCTCCCAAGGATGCAGTTGTAGAGGGATGGGCAGTCGATGACGAGGAAGCGCACCTTGACCTGCCTAGTAGCAGTTTCCTCGCTGAAGGTGACCATAAGCTCCATGTACCCCCACGCCTTAGAGGTCGAGCCATTAAAGCCCTGCAGGTCTGACCCCACGTATGGTGAAACGTGAGAGTCATCGAGCTGCAGGGTTCTGAACAGCTGGTTGTACATCACGTCGAAGAACTTACCTCGTCGACCAGGACGCGATGGACGTCGAAGTTGGCCATTCTCGCCCTTATCAAAAGAGGGATGGTTGAATTGGGGGGCCCTCCGAGAAGTTCCTCGAGGTAAAAGGTGATCGGCTATAATCTGCCTTTCACCCTTTCGAAGGTCACAGTTTGCGGGGAAGCCGCGTCGACCAGTTCGTCCAGCTTTCTCTTTGCTGAATTTATGGTCAAATCATTAAACCCTCCACCATTGATGACCATGGCGGAGGGGAAGTTTTCCCACCTGTTGTGCATAGACAGAGGCCCTTGCACATGTTCGGGAATGTAGAAGTCCTTCGGTCTCGTGACGGAGAACGCGGTTTGGATGGGGACTGACTCGTCAAATGGTCGGGCATCTTCTTCTACTTTACTTGCCTCACGGGCGTCTTGTCAAGGGGCGTCGCCTCACTGATATTGCGCGAGTCTCCCCCCTTTTATGAGGGTCTCGATGGCGTCCTTGAGATGGACACAATCTTCGGTCAACTGCCTGTGGCTTCGGTGATATTGGCAGTACTTGCTTCGGTCTACCCCAGGTTTAGCAAGAGCGGAGCGAGGACGCTTGACGCCGCCGTCCTTGAAGTCCGTATTTGCGCACTCCGCTAAGATACGCTCGCGGGAAGCCGTTAACAGAGTGTACTCAGTGAACCTCCCCGAGGGCCCCCTTTGTTCCCGGGCGTCTCGGGGTTTGTCGTCCCTTCTCTTCTCGCCAGTTCGTCGAGGAGGGGTGGTGTCTTGTCGCGGATTACTGGTAGATTCGTGATTCTTAGGATCTCGGGATCTGTTGGCCGCTTCTCTCTCCTCGTAGTCCATATAGGCTCTGGTCTTCTCGATGAGGGCATCGAACGTCCGGGGTGGTTCGATGCCTACGGCTTTTCTGAATTCAATGCCCGGGAGGAGTTCCCTCTCGAGCAGGTATCTTTTCATGTGGTCCGTGCAGGGGACCTGGATGGCCTCCCGATTGAACCGGTCAATAAATTCCCTCAGGGTCTCATCGTGTCTCTGGACGATGGCCTCGAGGGCTGCTTCGGTCTTCGGGTGTCGTCGCGAAGCAGTGAACTAACTGATGAATTGGTTCTTTAGATTTCGCCAAGAGGTAATTGACCCTGTGGCAAGACCTTTGTACCAGTCCATCGTAGCTTTCCTCAGAGTTGTGGGGAACAATCGGCATTTGATTGGTTCCCCGACGTTGTGATAGTGTAGCATGGCTTCAAACCCGTCTATATGGTTGATCGGGTCAACGATGTCGTCGTATTCCTTTAGGTGGGGAGGCTTATCCATGCCCGGGGGAATGGGTGCCTCCATGATAGCTTGTGACAAGGGACCGCGGGGGTCGTCCTCCTTACTCCGTTTGGGCGAGCGAGACGGAGATCTGATGTAATGGCGATCACGGTGGCCCTGGTCGTGCGGAGCGGTCCTCAGACGGTATGACCGTTGGTGGTTCCCCCCCGTTCCTGTCTTCAGGGGGTCTTCGTTCTTGATGTGAGGGGTCGTGGTCGCGCCTTCCCGCATCAACGAGTTGTTCCCTCTCCAAGGGGGATCATCGCCTGATTGTTCGGGGAGACGGGCTTCGAGAGAATGTCCCGACTATGTCTCCGCGGGGGAGACTGGGGATGTTCCTCTGCTTGTCGAGGAAGAGGAGATTGAGGTCTCCTGTGTCTTCTTGGGGGCCTTTGATCGTCTTCGAGCGCCCTCAGTCTTTCTCCATGGGCGAAGATTAGATAGTTGGTTTGATTGATTGCCGCGAACAGTGCCCTGGTCGTGGCGTCTGCCCCGGCGGGGACGGGGACCTCGTGGAGCTGGACGTGTTGGTAGTTCTAGGGAGGTGATCGATCATCTTCAAGTCGACAAGGCAGAGATGATGACGAAGCAATTTCTCCGTCTCTATAGTCAGAAGGCCCGAGCATATTGACGCCCGGGGCTGTGTTGTGGTCGGCGATACAGGCGTTGTCGAGGTCGACATTGTTGTCGACGGTGTTGTTGTTGACGTCGATGATACGGATGTTCATGTTGTCTGGAGTCTGGTCAGCCATGATAGTCGGTGATTGTTTAGCTTTGGTCTCAAGTGAATAAAAGACAGGGAAGCAAGTTTCCCACAGACGGCGCCACTGATCTTACCGGATCAGAAATTGACCGTCACAGCTGGCTCGGGCAGAAGTTGAATGAGATGGAGGGTACCTGCAAGACACTCTGATGGTAAAGCAAGTTGCGGAATAAGCTAGCAAGTATGAGTTTAGAGATACGAATTGAATATCTGACCCTCTTGAGAGAGAGGGTATTTATAGTCCCCAGCGCTGGGCCAAGGTTCTCACTCTTGGGCCACGTTGAGGCTCAATAACAGGAACTGTCAGGGCTTATGTATGTATGGAGCCCAACAAGTGGGCTCCCTCCTAGTCAACTGCTCCGTGAGAATAGGATTGGACCCGTGATTTTCAGAGGGCGGTTTTGGATGCTGTCGTGGGCACGTGGACCACGTCCTCCAACGGTCGGATGGAGAGTTGCCCAAGGGTCTCTAACTTGGGTTGTCTTTGGACTTTCCGTTGGAAGGACAAGTGTAGGCCATATATATATATATATATATATATATATATATATATATATATATATATATATATATATATATATATATATATATATATATATATATATATATATATATATATATATATATATATATATATATATATATATATATATATATATATATATATATATATATATATATATATATATATATATATATATATATATGTCACTCATATATGGTTGAAAAATAATATATAGCAATGTATACGTTGTGTTAGAAGTTACTCTATCCGTTTAAAAAATTACTATCATTTAAGTTTTTATACACAAATTAAAGAATACAATGACGTTGCATAAGACATTACATTTTTATAAAATTAACTCTATTAATATATTGAAAGTAATATAGATAGTAAAAAATAAATGACACAATTGAAAAAATAATAATTATTACTACATTGAAAAGTGAAAATGCCAATCAATTTAAAATAATTTATTTATTAAAATGACAGGTATTTTGAAATAGTGGGAATATCTAAAATAGAGGCCAAGTCTTTAGGATTTGGTAATTGCACATGCAAAAGAGGCCGGCAAACATACAATATAAAAGGTTTATCATGCGAAAGACTTAGAAACAACGATACATTTTCTCTTTGCTTACAATTTGTTTCCTTGTCAATACAAAAAAGACTTCATGTCACTCAAACTACAAGCAATAACATATATTAATTATGATCAAATATCACCCAACAAGATACATATTTTAAGTATTAAAATAACTAATGGTCAAACAGTTGAATTGAATCCTCCTATATAAACATATGCAACTTATTTTTCTCTTCCATAATTTTGGCACTAGGAAAAGGTGAAATGAATTTATTTGAGATTGAAAGCAATAAGATTCTATCAAGGAAATCTTCTGTGGGATGTTCCTCTCGTATATCATATTATAGAAGTGGAGAAGGTGTTCCATTCAAATGGGAAATGCAACCAGGGATAGCAAGAGAATCATCACCGGCAAAAGAGCTTCCACCACTCACTCCACCACCAAAATTTCTTAGTTTAGGGCTAGCAAAACCATGCATTTTGGACACCAAGAAATCAGCTTCAACTATGTCAAAGCTGAGGTTTTGGAAGAAAAGGATTGTCAAAATCAAAAGCAAGAAGCCACAAGAAGATTGTTTTCATCAAGATTTTGATGCACTATCATGGTTGGATTGTAGCACTGATTCAGAATCTATGGCATCACCTCGTGGTTCAAGCTTTTCTTCTTCCTCTTCGTCAATGTCAATGATGAAGAGTACTCGTTCTTCATTGACATTAGCATGCTCTTGCTCGGAGAGCCCTGTTAAGCGAGTGTATGGTGGTTGTTTCCCAATGAACATGAGCAGAATTCTTGTTTCAATTACAAGGCGTGATTGAAAATAATAATAGTATTAGCGTTATTTATGCTTTTACCTTTACATTAGAAAAAAATAAAGGAAATATACAACTCACACACCTTCGTTCATTGTTTTTTACCTTCCAAATATGTGGAAAATTTATCACCTATAATATTCATTACCGGTCTAACTAGTGCTTCTTTTGCACCTAAATGCACTCTAATACTGCTACTTCAACCCATGTGAATTTGTGTAATTGTAATTAGTGTATACTGATTAATTATTTGCATGTGTTGTGTTTATGAAGTAACAAACATAGGAGTTATGGAATTGTAAAACTATACTGAATCATACTATAAATTACTAACTCATAAAATCTTTCTAACTACAAATCTTAAATGCTATGCAAGTTTAGTGATCCGCCGGACATAAATAACTAGTTTCTTCAGGAAGCAGTTACCAATAACACAATATCACTAATTACAATATCATACTAATAACAATGACATTCGACCGTTCGAGGGGCTGTTGTTACATCATCAACTAAAGGGGGTAATGCAGAATGGACAAGCAAGATTAGTTACATGGAGCTGATGTAAGTAATTATGACAAGCATGAAACCTGGGCACAATGTTAGTTACATACTCCCCTGTAAATCAGAAAAGAACAATATCACAATGCAGACACCCATTATGTGACCAACTGTTAAGAAATTCAATAAATCCAGTAATCTACTGCTAAATGTAAAATGATAACAATTTTGCCAAATTAGATATTACAGACTTCCATTTACCAGCACGATCATACAATCATTTGTGATTAAGATTTAACTTAATGATCAAATCTCATGTAGTGTTGCTATATTGCAGCCATGGTGCCACCATGGCATAATAGCATGTCGGCTATGGCGGTGCCATAGGCCGCAATGACACATTCATATGACGTATTTTTGGCCATCGCCATCAACGGCACTGACCCCATAATCATACTTCAATGAACATTTTGAGGTGAATGAGAAAATATTGTAAAAACAAAAGAACCCGCAACTAAGACCTCAAAAAAGGTTGATGCTAAATGACATCTTCATCACCGCCATTTCTACCCCAACATGTGCTCCCAGTCTAGCACTACCCCTATCAACACGACAGAGATACAGACCATGTTAACATTAATAGTTGATCCCTTCTGCTTCTAGCAGAGGAATAAGTGTGATTAAATCCCATTTTTGTTGTTCTTTAAAGCACTAATTCCTAGTACACACTAGTTTATCTTCAAAACTGGGTGTCTGAGAAGATACAAAAAAAAAGAATCGTTCCCACCATAGGAAACCAGTGCATTTTAATCAGATATCAATACATTTGAACATATTTTCAAAATCACAACCTTAAAAGTTTGGCGCACACCTTTTCCCCCACTAATTAAATTTTATCAAATTATGAATTATTGACAGATGATATTCTTTTGAAAGTTGCACTCTTACAAACAAAACTGGTTACTCCTATAACCTCAATAAACATACCTTAATTGGAAATTTCATTCCGGAGTAAGAGATTTAAGAAAACGGAAGACATAATCCACCTGAATAAACTGGTTACTCCTATAACCTCATACCTCAATAAAGCATCTAAAAGACATAATCTATTAGATGCTTTATCTGATGTGAAGGAAAAAAAATGAAGAAAAAAAAAACTACCAGACTAAGAAATTTAAGAAACCCAAATAGATATAGCCATGCAACAATTTTGTTTGAGGCCCTAGTCATTAGGAAATAAAACACATCTCACTTAAAGTATGCCTCCAAAGATGCATTTTCAAATACCAGTATTCCACCAACCACCACAAATACACTAATAAAAACCTTTGAACTCTTGGTTGTATAAAATTAGGTTGATAGGTTGATTATAAATTGACATAACCGAGTGCCAACCCAAAACTAGAAACAGGCAAACATAAACATAAATACGTACCTCAGCCGGTGCCGATTCCCTATAAAATTCAAAAAGTAAATCAATTTACTGCAGCTATACATATTAGACAATTCTTAAGAAATAGAAAACACCAAGTATACCTTGGTCTGTCAGACTTTGAAAGATGTTTAGCCATTATAGATTCCTGCAACACAACAAATTATCACATTACACTCATAAATTTAAAATGGATTGTCAAATTAACACGGTCCAGCACTAAGCAAACTACTGCCAGGAAATTCAATTGCAAAAAAAAAAAAAAAAAAAGCCCATGAATGTGTTGAAAGGGAGCCGTTTGGAAAATAGATACATGTTTAGAACTGGACCCGCCAAAAGATATGGAGTTGCATGTTGTAGGCATATATCAATCCTCAATGAAACACCAATTCTTGCTTCCTTTAAAAGTAGTTTTATTTTTCTGCTGTCATCATAAAGAGCAATTTTGTATTGGCCAAACACCATAAACCATAAAAAAAAGAGCTTTTCTAAATAAAAAACATCAGCTTTTATTATTTGACATCATATTAAAACAGGCATCGAAATGTCTGGGACCTAAATCGTGATTGCAATTGTGAGAGCATAAAACATTACCTGCTCTTGTATAATGCTCCTTGCTTCGACAAGTTGAGCTTCAAGCTCAAGTTCCCTCTCGGTAGCTTCCGAAGTGACGTCTGCCTCTTTCTGAGCATCTTGCAATTGGACCATGCGCTCCTTCATATTTGAAATTTCAAGCCATTAACAACCCAAACACAAACAATCCACATATGCAAGTACTTAACAATGGAAACCAAAGAGTGATCTTAATAAGTAATAACCTTTATAGAAGCCATCTTGGTTCTAAGACTCTCTTCAATTTGATCTCTGGCCATGTGAAAAGGAAGATCAAATACGTCCTGCAATTATCAAACTTATAAATTTCATAGGGCAGTTTGACAGTAGGAACAATGTACAAAAGATAAGTAAGTTTCCACACCGTTCTCCCAACCAGCGGAGATTGCGAATGATTACTTTCAGCTCTTTCATTTGGAGTGGGAGATTGATTTGGTAGTCCATTAGGAGCATTTAAGAAATCACGCATATCCACCTGTAATCAGTATTCATTACACTCACAAATCTCATAACCTAGGTCAAACCCTCTGCTTTAGAGGGAAGGTCATCATAGAACAATGGCCTTTAGAAGGAAGGAAGTACAGAGCCTAGTCAAAATATAAAATGACAAAGATGGATGAAAAACAAAATAAAAAATATGCTGAAAGCTACCAGACCAAAATTTGTACAGAATTAATGTTCTCCTTTTTTCCTGTCCTAATAGTAGTTACTACTGTCCTCCATCTATTTTTACTTTGCATCACTAAAACAATTAGTTCCCTGAATATATCAAACCAATTAACGTGTTGTTTTCGCGTCTAACAATCAGTCAGCAACAACCACCAAAACCTAAAAAGTGCCAGTATCCTATCATAAGGCATGTCTAAATGTTGATATTTAATTACACATATTTATAAAGGTTTGGTCTGCAGATATCCTTAAGCTCCTACATCTACTATTAGACTGACCTTCATTTGGTCTACCAACCCTATGGATGCTTCAACAGTTTTCTCATCTTGCGCCCAAACTACCTACAGCGAGACTACCATTTTCTTTACAATAAGTGTCACTCCAAGTTTCTCTCTAATGCTTTTAAATTTAAAATAGTCCCAAGGCATAAAACTTTTACGGATGAAAAAGGTAATGAAATGAAAGTGCCAAACTAATTCATGTGTGTGTACACGTTTGCATGCACACACAAAAACCGCTTAAGAGAACATTAAGAAAGCAAAATACATTGATCAAGTGCTAACAAATGAAAAGTTGCCGGATGATCCAAAATCACATCAAGGAGAATCAACGAAACATGGGCAAAAGAAACAAACAGGAGACGTTCATACATGTCTGCAAGTAGAAATTTCAGCAAATATTAACAATTACAAATCAGGAACCCACCTGCATTGATCTCAATAATGCTCTTAAATCAGCATTTTCTGCTATCAGTTCTTGATTTTTCACCTCATAAGCATCCACCTACCATTATTATAAATAAACTGTGAATGGTGGAGAGTGTTGAGGATTTAAAGTTTATAATGATAGGGTGAAAACTTGCATACAATCTTTTTATAAAAATCATTGTCTGTTTTCTTCCCATTCCAAGTCCCACGTGGCCTCCCTTCCTTCTGTTTACACACATCACAAGTACCAAATTATCACAAATCTGTGATCTTACAAGTTAGGAGCAACATTCAAACTACATGGATGTTGATACCTGAAGCAAATTCATTATCTCCATACCCGACCTAGATTCTTTCTTCTTCTCCATCAACACTTGGTTTAGTCTCTCCTGCAAGTATAACGTACCAGCCCTTCATATTTCCAAATCTAATAATTTGCAGGATCATGAAATAATTCAATGGTAAAATCCTTACCATAAATAAGCACAAGTTGCCAAAATACCATCTCATTTAAACAATAAAAGTCAAAGATATCCTACCTGCAACTTTATGTATTCCTTTTCCTTCTTCTTCATCTCATGTACTTGTTGAGTCCTTACTTGCTTTGGCACCGACCACATAGCCAAATTGATAAATAGTCAGAGCTTATCCATTTTGAATTACAAGTATCCGAATATGAGACGAAAAGTAATCATAGTAAACACATCCTCTAACCTGATTACCAATAACCATCCTCTGAAATTCATCCCTCTCCTGTTGCAGCTTATCAATTGTGGCCTTAAGAGCTGCAGTATTTTTAGCTTCCTAAACAAGAATAAATAACAGGAATTAAAACCCACCATTAACTAACAAAAACAAACATAACTAGTACTCCCTTTGTTTCAAAATGAATGTTGTTTAAGGTTTTTCACACATACTAAAAAATGTAATAATATTGTCACAAGACATATTTTTACTATATTTACCTTATTATTGTGTTGGAAGTCGTATACAAAGTAATAATTAAAAGATACAATTGAAAAAATAACAATCATTTCTACATTGAAAAAGCGAGAATGACAGTCATTATGAAACAAATTTTATTTGGTAAAACGACAGTCTTTTTTTTGGTGAGAAAACGACAGTCATTTTGAAATAGAGTAGCATTATTTTTGTAAATAAGGAAACCATTCAACGTTCACATTATAGATACACTTTCAACAATTCAATGCTTGACATTTACCAAAACTTTATTTCATAAGCATCTCCTCACCTTCCTAGTTAATGTCGCTATCTCTCTGTCTTTCACTTGTATTTGCCCTTCAAGCCTCTCAACTTTCGCCTCAAATCTCGATATATCAGATAACAATCTACAACATCAAATTCAAAACACTTACAATTAAACAAATCAATATCTCTCTCACACACACACACACAAAAACACAGTCATCAACCTAATGTCAGTTATCAAACAATTACCGTTGCCTTTGTTCATTCGCGGACTCTCTAAATTCGACATCGCGCTGTCTCTGCTGAAGCAAAAAGTATATACAATTGCAAGTCCTCGCTATAGAAACCTAAAACATCACATAATCAAATTATCAAAAACCAACGCCATTTTCACAACAATTTCATTTCGTTGATAAATTCTTACAGGATCGTTTGCGAAAAGATCGAGCGAAGCAGGAAAACCAAATGTGACGAGCGATTGGTTCAAATACTTCGCACAGTGTTCCAAATTCCCTACATCTGCGAATGCGTTTTCTCTGAACGAAAACGAAAACAACAATGCCGTTACAGAGCGAAAACGAAAACGAAAACGACAATGCCGTTACAGAGCGAAAACGAAAACGAAAACCCTAAGAGAGAGAAAAATGGAGAAACTGAAAGTAACGAAAAGAGATAGGGTTTTAAGTTTAACTAACCCGGTTGTGAAAGCAGAAGAATGAGAAGATTGCTGCAACAAAAAGAGACAGTTAGGGAAATAAATTAAATAATTGAATTAAAGAAGAAAAAAAGTTAGGAAGATTAATTGAGATTTTATTTTTTACCCTAAGATCTAAGTCTCCTTCAGTTGAAGGCATTGTTGTTTTTGATAAAGAGCTTCTTCTTCTTTTCTTCTTTCTTTTTTTTTTTGTGTTAGATCTAACTATCTATATCTATGTCTTTGATTCTAAGCGGTGTCTGAATTTGAATGATGAAATTGAATTAAATCGTTTTTTTTTTGTTGGGTTTTGTTGGGCAGGTGGGTAATGATAGGGTGTGTTCGGGTTTGGATTTTGGGTTTGGGTTTGCCAATAGGGATGTGACAAGTGGCTTTGGTGTAAGATTTGCCATGTGGAGCTTTGTGAGTGTAGGATGGGAATTGTGGGGGTTGTGTTTTAGTTGGGATTTATGGCGCCATGATGGTCGGTCCCATGCGTTTACATGCGTGACTAGAAAACATCTTTTGACCCGCTTTTATCTTAGAGCAATTTAAAACTTTGGATTTTGGGCTTTTGTTTAGTGGTTGGATTGGGGTAAAATAAAATTAGAAATACTTTTTAAAATTAGAAATATATTTTTGAGATATACCAAAATTTAATAAAATGTAGGTTAAGATGGGAGTTGAATTTCTGTTTTGTATCCGGACTTAAATTTTCGGTATGCTGATGAACAGAAAGCAGAAAAACAATATTGAATAATATCAATTTCACAAATTTAAAATATAATTCATATCATAAAATAGTTAATACATTAAAGATTGAGACATACATCAAACATTACACTTCAACATTCAAATGAACGTTACAACATCTTGATAATATCATCTATCGATCTCAAAACAGTCGCATCTAACTCGATCGAAACTTTCGCTTAAAAATGGGTAAAAGTATGCCCCACAGCCTGTATATCAGCGTCGTTCCTCAACTCACGGTTGATGAACGTAAGCTTCCCATCTTTGTCAATTGATGGCGAGCGGCACGCGATCTTCACAATTTTCTGATTGTCGCCATAAGGTAGCAGTTCCTGCAATATGTCTTGTAGATCTTCAAGAGAGATGTACTTGATGAACTTAAATTCTCGTGATGGTGTATTGGCGGTAAAGTTGACATTCTTCAACATGTCATTTGACGTTCATTCTGGTTTTTGGTGTTTTGGTATGAAATAACATGCCAAGTGGGGTTATTTATAGTAGTTGAAGGCAAACATGGACCTTACAAATTCTATCATGTGACAAAGTGTAAACCGGAAATGCATTTTCGGTTCCACCTTAATATAAACCGAAACTATATTTTCGGTAAGTCCCCTAGGACTGAAAACCAGAACAGAAACAGAACCATAATACATCTATTGAAAGATGATAATTTTGGTCAAACTACAAAATCATTATATTCAACAGCATAATACATTGACAAAATGACATATACAATAAATGATACATAACTACTTAAATGATCTAAAATAAGTGTTGTCGGATAAATCCACATGTGCTACGCCTTTTGACTTTTCCCTATTTTTTTCTATTTCAATTTTGACCAACTTGTCATAGTCTTGCATTCTTTCAATAAATTGGTCCGGTCAGGTCTCTGAAGGGATTGTGTAATGATTCACCCACTTTGATGATGTAAGTGGTATTGGACATCCTGATTTCAAATATACTTGAACAAAATATCGCGGATTTGAAACACATCCAACACAGATGATACGATCATTGGGATTTGGAGGTGGAGCAGTGCGAAGTGGGAAAAAAGTTTCCGAGAAACTGTATCTTGTAAGATTAATACACACCCTCTCATACACACTTTCTATGAGATGACCCATTTTAGGGAAGCATGTTCATTTATGCTCTGGTGTATGTCCATTGATGCAAGGTACTAGCGCGTCATAACTCTCTTCAACTTTCTTATTAGTCTCGAGCACCCGTGTGCATAATTCTATATTGATCCTCAACTCTCTGGTAAGAGTATCACGAACAAGTTAGTGATTGTCTTCCCCTTTACCCAACAAGTTGGATAAATAGCGCCTATTGTACACTTGCTTGATATTTGATGTATTTTCGGGTCTCTTGCGCTTAAAGGTTGCAAGTATATTTATGGGCAATACCAAATTCATTGTCATGTCGGAAACATATGTCTTCTCATCGAGAAGGAGCTGATATGCAATTGGATGACCGGTTAATCTTACACTTAAATCATGATTGTATAAACCACATATCACATTAAATCTCCATTTCTTATTTGCCAACAGATAACCAACGGTGTCCTCACGTTTATAACACGAAATTATATCATATATCCGACTTGACTCGCATGAATTTTATTATCGTTTTCGTTTATTTTTGTCTTGTTATGTCGGTATTTCTATTTCATTTCAGGTACATTCTAACACACATCTTCCATAAGTAAAAGAGCGGGAAATGGCCAAGACACTGAGAAGAATTGAAGAAATTATGAAAAGCACAGGAAAACCACATTTCAAACATGTGTCCCTCGCCACAGCTCAATATCTTCAGCCACGTATTTAACTCGTGTGGTCATCTCTACTTCAATAACTCACGAGCCCAATCCCCCTGGTATTTCTTCACGAGCTGAGTCTCCCGAATATTTCTCCATGAAGCCATTAGTCCCTAAGTTGTCTCTATGATCGTTATGAGAATCTAGCAGAGAAGTTATAAAAGGGTAATTCTTCATAGTTGAAGGGGTTCCACCATTTTTCGTTGTAAGCAGAGTATAGTTCTTAGTTTTTAGGCAGAAAATCACCTAAAATAGCAATAGCTCTTCCACATCAGGGGACTGTTGCAACTTTAATATTAGGTTAGTTTTATTACTTATTCAGTATTTTTGGTTAAGCGAATCCTGTTGGCTTTTGTGGATGATCGTAATTTTAAAGTCCAGTTTTAATTCAAGGTTGCATGCAAGTTCAATTGTACTCGAAGATACATCTAGTTATTTCATTCAGTTTTTATTTCCAAGTTTCAATTTGGTTTTTATTGTCTCTGTTTTTAGAAATCATGTATAGTTTTATGTTTAACTATTGTTATAGCATGTTTATATTCAAAACTATGTCTGGCTAAACCCCTTGATACTGGTATGTAAAAGTAGTCGCACGGACGAGATTCGACAATTTATTGGCGTAAATATTTACAAACTGTTTTTCTGGCCTAGTTTCTAATTCTAATTAAAACATTTTTGTACGAGAGTAAAAAACAAACAAAGGTTACAGTCAATAAAGAGAGAGTTTGAGATTTTAATCGGATAGTAGAAACTAGACATTAATTCTAAACGCAGCGAGAGCACTTTCGGATTAATTAGAATTTACTGGTTTCCAAAAATCACTTTTAAATTCAAATGAGACAGCGAGAGCAAAGCATTTTGGTTTAGGATTATAGTTAGAGTCAATAACACGAGAGTGTGAGATAAAGGCTTTTAAGTCAGTATTTTCTACTGAGAAGTATTTTCAGTTTTAAAACCACGCCAACGATTTATCAAATCCCTGGAGTTTGACAAGTTGTATACCGGTGTCCTTTAATTGAATATTTTATTAAATTTGAATTTATTTCCTATTTCCTCAAAACCCAAGATTAATCATCAACCTTAGATTTACATAGTAACATTAGATAGCATTAGTTTGATTATCAGTCTCTATGGGTTCCATATCTTTTAAAACTACGCGATTAGACTGTACACTTGCAGTCAGTAAATCTGATAGACTCTTAAAGTTGTGATCAAGTTTTTGGCGCTGTTTCCAGGGACTGATTTAGTCAATATTATGATTCCATTGTTACGCATTATAGACTAAGGCAACAATATTTTACCTTTAATTTGTTGATAGTGTAGCGGTAGAAATATTGAGACTAAGCCATTGGATTGACTTGACTCGCACAAATCAAATAAAAATCACCACCGCGCTTTATTATTTCCAAAGGAATGGGAAATGAGCAAATAACCTAAAAAAGGGGAGAGAGTCTAGGTACGGGGGTTGGTTATGCAAAGGGAAGGTATTAGCACCCTAAACATCCACGGTACTTCGCATGAACCTCTTTGTAAATTTGTGTATTTTGGATATAAGGTTTGTATAAAAAATAAATGGTGGAGGTGAAAAAAGAAATATTTTTTACAAATTTTTTTGCAACCACCGCGGTTGCGAATCTTTAGTGCTTATGTACCACCTTCCGTGCAATAGGAGATCAGGGTACTCGTAGTTCACCTTTAAAATTTTAAAACACAAATGTGTTGGTTAATTTTAAGAGACGAGACATCATTGTCATCTCCGAATGGAAGAACATACTTACTACCCACGATTATGAGAAAGGAGAATTTGCATCATCTCAAAGTGGAGGATATGGATTGGATTTTAAAATTAAAAAAGCTTCGCTCAACACCCGAGTGGAAAATATCTCACTTCACTACATATCATAGAAGTATATTAGTTCACATCACTACAAGGATTGACAAGAGTCTAATATTTTGAGAAGATTTTAAAGTAAAAAGCCAAAGTGGCAAAATGGTTTGAATGAGATTGATTGACTTTTAGTTTTCTCATAAAAATGTCAAAGTATGATTAAATTGTTTAAAGTTTGATTAAGAAAAATGTTTTTGAAAGACATGGACCTGAGTCCAAGTTTATTATGAAAGTTGTTCAAGTTGGAAAACAAGAATAGTTTTGAAAAGGATGGAGAAGATTTTTGAAATTAAAGAAGATGAGAGGAGATGAATAATCTATCCTAAGGCATAAGGTAAAAGCTAGGGAAAAGAATCGTCTAACCAACAAGAAGCCAACATTTGACACAACGAGTCAATGTAGAATTCCTATCCTTTGGATTGAAATCAAACAAGCAAAAATATTAAACCTCTTAAGAATACCAAACTTCAAATGCATTAAGTCTTCACAAAAATTAGGCAGAGTAACGACTGTATACAGATGAATTCCCAATCACAGACAAAGCATATAATCAGAATAACCTGCACACAAAGAAAAAATAACCCAATGTCTTGGGGTAAACCCCAAGAACTCTAGAAAAAATAACAAAGAAGTCACAAGGTCCTAAGGGTAGTCAAGGCTTCTAATCCTAAGTCCAAGAGATCCATAACTCCATCATGCC